CCCCAAAACCCCAAAACCCCAAAACCCCAAAACCCCAGATTTATAAGCACTCCTAGAAACTTAATGAATTTATAAATATAATAAATATGGAAGATATCAAGGAAGAAGAAGAGATTTGACTTAAAAATAATAACGAAGAGATACTTAGGCAGAGCCATCCAGGTGAATACAACGGAAACCTAAAATTCCAATCTAAGATCATTATCATCAAGGAAGTTGAGAACTTACTGAAAAGTATCCAGAAGAAGAAAGGCATTGATTACTTGAACCTGTTCAATATATGAAGCCCTTATTTTGTAGTCACCATTTTGTTCAGTTTCTTCCTGTTTTATACACTAAATGTGACAGATATTATCTGAGCTCTCAGTTTATTCTTTATTTTAATCTGAATGATATTCCTCCAATACAAACGCAAGAAGTACAAAGCGGATACTTATGAGATCAAACTTAGAGAAATCTTAGAGGTGTATAAATAAAAACACTGATTCAGAAGAGGAAGAAGATAAAGATAGCCAGAAGAATCGACTACATAAAAAGACTTATGACTCTCTCAGTTATTGTTTTACGCAAGTGCTAAGGAGGAAAAACAAGAAGAACTCTTTCCAGTCTACCCCAAATGTCTTGTTGGCTAAGGGAGATGTTATTAGAATTTTACCTGGAAATAAAGCTCCCGCTAAAATGCAAAGTTTGAGTGAGCCAAATTTCCAACTTGAAAAAGGTGAACTTTTAAAATCGAAAAATGAAAACATTCCAGAAAATGCAAACTTGAAGGAATATTTCACAGAAGAATTAGGCTTTAAGAAGTTTAAAGTATTGGAAACCCCAATCGTAAATGAGATCAAAACATTATTAAGAAATATAGAGGAAGAGGAGGATAGCAAGCCTTTACTCATCGACCAAAGGAAGATGCTTTACTGGAAGACAATAAATATCATCCTTTTCCTTACCCTTATTTGTTCTGTGAGCCTATCAATAACCTGGATAGTTCTTGAAAATGTTAACTTTGCTGAGATTCTATCTCACCCAGTCTACATGATGATTTGTTTAACCTACATTTGTGTCCCATCATTACTGAAATTCATGGATGCTTGGTGCAATTCATTATTGCTCTCCTTATCAGAGAAGCTGCAGAAGGCTGACTATAACAAGCAGTTTAGGACAAATTACTTCCAATTCTTGCAAAAGAAGGAGCGAAAGAAGAAAAAGATGGATCTTGATGAAAAAGAAGGCCACAAGGATAAAAAGAAAATCAAAAAGAACCAAAAGTCAAGGACTCATATTAAGGGATTTACCAAGGTCGATACTTATTACGAGGAATTTAATTTTAGCTACTGGGCCATTAAGGATAATTGGAGGAGATTTAAGAAAATGCTACTCCAAGGAGTCGCTAAGAAGGAAGATTATGTAGGAATCTTGTCCTATGCAACAATACTTGCATTTACAGATCTGGAAGGGATCATTAGTGAAAATGAGAGATACGCAAATGAACTTGCTGTGTTTGATCAGTATGGCAAGAAAGTAGTTATTGATCTCCTCCATGATCCGTATGTTGAATTTGAGCAGGATATTTATGTATTTGAAAAGAAAACTTCTGAGACAACAAAATATAATGCTCTCAAGAAAGCATTGGCTATTTGTATGGGAAACGCTCAAAATCCTGAAAGAGGAAATAAATATGAATACTTAAAACCTATCTTCAAGCTCCCATCTAGCTTAAAGAAGAAAGTAGAGCAGAATTCAGATGAATATTTTTTACATAGATTTAACAAAAATGAAATCACGCCCCATTTAGACTGAATGTGTTCTCTATCTTTCAGGCTAGGGCTGAATCCTGATGAGAGGAAGAACTTATTCCCAACATTTTCATTTTGGGATATTAAGAACAGGGATGAATGCAACTTGGACCAGAGACAAAGAGAAGTTGAAATTGGCTATAAAGATGACAACGATACTGAAAGCCATAATGCTGTAAAATCAAACAAGGTTAGAAGAAAAAGCGTCAGAGGCAAAAACGGCAAACAACTTTTTGACATTGAATCTGTCTCACAATATGCCAGTGATGGACAGCTTTCTATGAGAAGTAGTAATAATGATCTGATGAAGGATGTTGAGGAAATAAAGAAGGAGCATAGCGCAGCTGAAATTGCTAATAACCACTTTGCAGAAATGAGAAAAAGAAAACAATATGTAAAAGAGCAAGCTAAAGTCCATCATATTGTCTCAACGATATGTAAAGATCTTCAGGTGCGCCAATTTGATGATTCCAATAAAAGTTCTGGGATAAAATATCATTTATTTTCTAGAGGCGATCCTCATATGCTTCTACAGTTTTGAGGCGATTACTGGAATGGTAACTCAGTGTCTCCTATTTCACATAATAATCGAGCGAATATCTTCCAAGCAGTAAAGGATATTGCGAGACAATGGAGCCTAAACGATCTAGATGCTGTTGGGTTTGCTTACAAACCTGCTATTCCTTCAATCTATGAATATGTTGAATCAAGAGGGTATGAAAAGGCATCATCAAAAAGCGATATTGAACTTCTCCAAAAACAGCAGAACAACCAAATCTTCCTAGGAATGGTTGGAATTAAAGAACACAGCAAAAGAGAAATCAATGAAATATTCAAAAGTTTTGGGAATGAAGGAGCTGGAATCAGATGAGTCATGTTTTGTAAAGAAGGGCCTATAGAGACTAAGAATTTAGGAAGTGAAATAGGATTGAATACTGACTGGAACACTTGTATCTCACTTTCAGATGATTCGATGAATGAGCTTATCAACCAAGAAGGCAATCTCGTGCTGCCCTATGGAATCAAAGGAATAAGAGAACATCTCAAGACAGTTGATCAGATTCCTTTACAAGTTCCTATGTTCTGAGACTCTACACCTGATAATATTACAGAAATGATCAAAATGTATCAAGAGAATGGGGAAGTTGTAGTCTGTATTGGGAATGTGTTTAACATCGAGAATATTAAAATTTTCCACCAAGCAGATCTCTCAATAGGAATGATGGTGGCCCCTTCTCAAAGATGTATTGGATGTAAAGGATTATGAAGAGGCTTTACTGCTATGAGAACCTACACCCCAAACAAATTGGAAAATCTTGCCTTTAGTCTGAACAGTCTTCCTTGTGCATTCAATTATAGTGCTAATACGAATATTTATAGTCTTTATACATTATTTAGAGAGTCTAGAAGGCTGAAAAATGGGCAACAGCAGTGTTTACTTATGACAGTTTTTCTTTACATGATGATACTTGGAAGTAAACTGGTTGATATCAGCCTTGGGTTACCATCCAACATGAGTAACTTTATGACTCTTATTATTTGTTTCATATGTATTCCTTTACTGGCACTAACTTTCTTGTTCCGACCAATGAGTAACAATATTATGAAGAGGCATTCTATCAACAGAAGGTATTCTCATTTTGTGCAGTATTATAAGAAAATGGTTAGGTTTTATATTATCAAGATTATTATCAGCTTTTTAATCATTGAGATAGCATATCTTCTTAATTATTACTTCATGCTTAAAAGATACGCTGAGAAGTTCCCAGACCAGATGAACGGGCTTAAGGATGTAGGATTCAGTGACCTTGAACACATTCTATGGGGATCTTTATATAAACTTAGAGATGAACATCAGTACTGGGATCATAAAGTACAAGTCAATCAGATCTTTATGACATTTTATATTGGTGTAATCTGATTGATCCTTGCTCCGGGCTTCGAACATGAAAGATACTCTGTATGCAAAAGAAGAAAAATTTTGTGTAAAAACAATGTATTCGTGGTGCTCATGGTTATACAGAGTGTCCTCTTATTTGCTTATTTTTTTATCGGAACTTGTCTGGTGAATACCAGTGATATCTATTTCCCTCATTATTTTTACTGGATTATACTTGTTATACATTCTTCGTTGTTGATTGGACTTGAAGAGGTTACAAAGAGGATTATTAGAGTTCAACATGACAAGGATCAGACTAGACTAGGATTCTTTTATGAAATTAAACTAGGCATGTATTCACCTAAATAAGAGATTCAATTAAATTTACACTCTTTGGGGTTTTGGGGTTTTGGGGTTTTGGGGTTTTGGGG